CCGGGCCTCCCCCCCACCCCTACATTTTTTTTTTTTTTTTTTTTTTTTTTTTTTTTCTGTAATAGACTGAACACTTGCTATGTGTTAGGCATGGTTCTTTAAAAAAAAAATTTTGAGACAGGCTCTCTCTGTAGCCCCAGCTATTCTGAAACTCACTATGTAGACCAGGCTGGCCACTATCTCACACTGATTTGCCTGCCTCTGTCTCCCAAGTGCTGGGATTAAAGGCACATACCACCATGCCCAGTTGGTTTTAAGGTTTTAATTTTAATTTTTTTGGTCTTTTTGAGACAGAGTCTCCTGGTAGTCCCAGCTAGCCTGGAACTCACTATGTAGACTGGGCTGGCCTCAAACTCACAGAGATCTGCCTGCCTCTGCCTTCCAAGTACTAAGACTAAAGGCGTGTGCCACTATGCCTGGCTTGGTTTTAAAATTTTTATTTTATGTATATGCATGTATTGCTTGCATGTAGGTAAGTGCACCCACGGCGTACAATGCCTGTTGAAGACAGAATAGGCTTTTGTATCCCCTGGAACTGGAGTTACGGACACTTGTTAGCTGCCATGTAGGTGCTTGGATTCACACCTGGGTCTTTCAAAGAACAGTCAGTATTCTTAACCACTGAGCCATCTCTCCAGCCCTGGTTTTAAATTTTTAACTAAAAATTTTATTTATGGGCTGGAGAGATAGCTCAGAAGTTAAGAGCACTGGCTGCTCTTGCAGAGGACCCAGGTTTGAATCCCAGCACCCACATGGCAGCTTACAACCATCTGTATCTCCGGTTCCAGGGAAATCTGACGCTCTCCTCTGACCTTTTCAGGCATTGCCTGACACAGGTGCACCTGCCTACAGGCAGGCAATATACTCAAACACATAAAAATAAAAATAATAATACATAAAATATAAAAAAAATTATTAGAGGGGGCACCCACATGCTGTAGGGAGTGTGTAAAGGTCTGTGGGCAACTTTTGGGAGTCTATTCTCTCCTTCCACCTTTGAAACAGGAGATCTCTTGTTTCTGTCGTGCTGTGTAGCATTGAACTCTAGGAAATTCTCCTGTCTTTACCTCCCATCTCTCAGAGTGCTGGGGTTACAAATGTGAGGTACCACATCTGTTTTATTGTAGGTTCCAGGGATTGAAATGAGGTAGTCAGATTTTTGCAACAAGTGCCTTTATTCATTGAGCCATCTTGCTGGCTCTTAGGCATTGTTCTTAATGTTTTTTTGTGCATAACTGAACTGGCTCAGCAAACTTCCCTAAGTTACTCCATTTTGTTCAGAGCCATTTCAGCAGCAACTTTGCTCCACACCAAAAGGAAAAGGGGGGCAACCTTGGGCCTTGGAAAATCGCCCTCGCCATGAATCATGGAATGTGCTAATTCCAGACATTATACATTTTTACTAACCAGCTTGTTTTCACTTCTGTAACCTGCTTGCTGTCTTGGGTCACCCTGACACAGGGCATAAGACCATCCTTGTTATCTTGTTGGTGTATGACCACCTAGAAGTCATTTACCTTGACTGTCTTATTATACTTATTATGGCTAAAACAGTTGGCTAGTTTTAAGGTCACAAAGTTGATTGCCAAGTTATATGACTGTATCACTTGTCTGTATAATGATTGGTTGTTAATTAATAGAGTCAAAATTCTGCTATGTTGTACAAACCTAATTGGTTCATGAATGTCCTGTTTTAATAATGATTTTGTAATCCTATAAAAACTCTGACCTGACAATCACCAGGGCTGCTTCTACTCCTGAGATAGATAGCCCGGCCGGTCGAAAATTAAAATTTACCTTGCTACTTTTCTTAAAGTGGTGTTGGTGATTTTTTAGGAACTCTGTCCTATAACATTTGGAGGTTCCACTGAGATCCAGAGGATTTCTGGGCCCGGCAGCTTTGGGAAACTCTCTGAGAAGGGAGCTGCCCAGCAGTATTCTGAGGACTCCCCAGTAGGGGACCTGCATCAGCCTTGGCTGTAGGGCAGTACAGGCAAACTCCCTGAGAGGGGACTTGCATCAGTCCCAGCTGCTTCGGCTTCCCCAGTCAGACCTCCAGTTTCTCCCTCCACACCACCAGCAAGGTAAGAGAGCGCTTGAGAAACCACTTTTGTTTTTAGTTTCTCTCCTGGTTTTGGCTATCGCCATCTGGTTCTGGGCTCTGATCAGAGGAACTAGGCGGGAAGCTGGACGTAGCAAATCTCCCCCTAGTTGGGTTCCAGAAGAGACGTCCCTGGGCCCACCTGGCCGTGAGCCCAAAAGCTTGTCTTTTGGGACCTGGATTTGACGGCAATCTGGTTGATGTTGTCTGTGCTTGTCTTGTTCTGTTTTGGTCATTGTATCTATGTTTGTCATGGGTGCCTGTGCTGAGATCTCAAATAATTCTGTCATGTATGTCTATGATTATTGTCTTCATATGTTTCCATCAAAAACCCTAAATATCTTTATTTTATTGGCTGAACTGGTTGTTTAAGGTCCTTATTTGTTGCATACGTTTTGGCTCGGGTTTGCTTTCACAATATCTCTTTGGTTTGCTCGCTTTGGATATTTTGGATTTGACATTCTTGGTCTTGTTTATATTGCTTTCAGACCTCTAAAGGCTTGAAAATGGTTTGAGAAAATTAAACTTTTGGTTATAGGTTTGATCTAATATGTTAACTCATCTTCATTGCTGGAAATAACTTCTGGGACTGGTCTTCCTATCTCATCCTTTTGGCCTTGTCCTTTTCCCTCTGTTTCCCGCAGCACTGCTCTGTATGCAAGGCAGATATGGTCTGTTTGGGGAGGGACACTTTTCATCCTTGGAAACTCTGCTGG